GCCAAGGCAACAAATGAGTGGCTCTAGAAGAAGCACATTAAGGTCCTGGAGTGGCCTAGCCAGTCTCCAGACCTCAATCCTATAGAAAATCTGTGGAGGGAGCTGAAACTTCGAGTTGCCAAACTACAGCCAAGAAACCTTAAGGATTTAGAGAGAATCTGTAAAGAGGAGTGGATCAAAATCCCTCCTGAGATGTGTGCAAACCTCGTGACCAACTACAAAAAAACGTCTTGCCTCTGTGCTTGCCAACAAGGGTTTCTGCACCAAGTACTAAGTCATGTTTTGCTTGGGGATCAAATACTTATTTCACTCACTGAAATGCAAATTGATTTCTAACCTTTATATAATGTTTTTTTCTGGAATTTTTGGTATACTGTCTGTTAAAATAAACCTACCATAAAAAAATTATAATTTTTTTTTGTAAGTGGGCAAACAAATTTTCCCCACTGTATATATATATATGTGTGTATATATATATATATATATATGTATATATAAATATATTTAAAAAATAGATAGATTAAATTATTTGCTACTATTTTAACTCTCTGACAGGAAAGTATTGGAGCAAAGAGATGCTGTGTATGAGAAAATAGCACAATACCTTCAGCTGAAGAATACAATTAAAAGCATTCAGGTATTTTATCTACTAAACCATATTTTGTGCTTTTTCCAATGTCTTTATATGTTTCCAAGGGTTTTTTTGTCTTTGCTATGTAACCTTGCCTGTCTCTATTTTCATTTGTTACTCCCTGTCTCTGTCGTTTTCTTGCTCTCATTCTGTATTGAGTGATGTGTATAATATGTTGCTTTTGCTATATTTTATTCATCTTTAGGAAACGGACAGCAAGGAACTCGAAACAGATGTTGACCTTGGCTGCAATTTCTATGTGCAGGCTCACGTGTAAGTATTGCAATCTGATGTCTGTGTACTGTGCGTCAATGCCTCTGTCTAACATTTTAAAAGTCAAACTCATGAAGGATTCATTCCTTTTTAGACCTGATGCATCAAAAATATATGTGGCAGTTGGATTTGGATTCTTTGTCGAATTCACACATGCAGAGGCTTTGAAGTTCATAGAAAAGAAGACAAATCGGCTAACGGAGTAAGAGATCATTTGGTTTTATCTTTTGGATTTTGATTGTTTTGAAATGTGCATGTTTGCCATTTTTTTATTGTTACCTTGAGATGTTCAGATGTTCATCATTATTTGAATATTTCAGGTATACTGAGGTCCTTACCAAAGATGCAGCAAAGATAAAGGCCAACATCTGCATGGTTCTGGAGGTACAAATCATTACAGTTTACTTGCTTGTCGTTTATTTTAAATTTTTTTTAACAATATATTGTGATGCTTAAAAAAAATCTGTTTTCATAGGGATTGAGGGAATTACAAGGTCTGAAAGATCTTCCAGAGGCCAGAAGGAGAGAGGTGTTTTAGTACAGTACACCAATCACAGCACAGTACATTTAATTTGCACATATGAATTTTATGGCAATCCATTTTAGAGGAACATTGCCTTTTAACAGGTTATACTGTTGTTTTGAAAAGGTTTGCTGAATAAATTGTAAAATTTTCAGTACCAACCATCAATGGCATTGTGATCATTTTAAATAACTATATCACTGTACACACAATACATTAACACATCGCCTTTTTAAACCTTCATATAACATTAGACAGTCTATATGAAATATGAATATGTAAGAGGCTTCTCTTGATTAGACACGTCAAGCAAATGATTAATGAGATTTTACCATTATAAATAAAAGTCGTGTGATTTTTAACTGGCTCATAAATTTTTATTTTCATAAAACAAGACTTCTTACAGAAATAAGAATTCTACCATTAACTTCATTGATTTCAGCAAGCCACAAAATTACACTATGAAGCCAATCTTTCTAAAAATGAAAATATAAATCTGTTGAAAAAATTAAAATGTGAGTACAGATTGATTCTGGAATAAAAACTTTAGCTCAGAATCAATCTACTGTTTTTATAAAGAATCTACAAATAATAAGATCACAAACTATGTATAGATTACCCTGTTCACATAATCAGTTCTTCATTCTTTCTACGAGTATGGCGTTCGATAAAATGCTTTCAAACTGTATGTGTGCTTCGTTTGGGATTCAAGATTGCACCTTCAATGAATTACGTGGCAATTAATCGATCATTAATGGTACTTCTAGTTCAGCTGTTCTGATTGATGAAGACAGTGGTTAATTTTAAGTTTCTGCAGCATCCGTGTGATGGCTACTCTGTCACACTAGTAACAGTTGCCATGGAAACTGGATGTTGAATTGTGGCAGCACTGTAAGACTTGGTTCCTGAAATAGAATATTTTTCTTTGTACAAAGACTCACTGCCGCATTTGGGCACAATGACACACTATACAATCATTATAATGTGACATTGTCAGCACTGGCTATGGAATTACAGATTTTACAGTTTAAAATTATATATAATTCAGGATTTCGATGGAACTTTCCAATGCATCAAATAAAGCATCGTTTATGCTTCCTGTATTATTCTATTACATATGCACTATGCATGCTTGACATTATTTTGATTATACACTATGCCAGGGGTTTTCAATCTTTTAGATGCCACAGACCCCCAAATATGATCATCTTCGTGAGAGGGACCCCAATTCTAAAATTGAAATGCAGCTATAGGGGAAGTCGTGGCCTAATGGTTAGAGAGTCGAACTCGTAACCCAAAGGTTGCAGGTTTGAGTCTCGTACCGGCAGGGATTGTAGGTGGGGGGAGTGAATGTACAGCGCTCTCTCCCACCTTCAATACCACGACTGAGGTGCCCTTGAGCAAGGCACCGAACCCCCAACTGCTCCCCGGGCGCCGCAGCATAAATGGCTGCCCACTGCTCCGGGTGTGTGTTCACGGTGTGTGTGTGTTCACTGCTGTGTGTGTGCACTTTGGATGGGATAAATGCAGAGCACTAATTCCTAGTATGGGTCACCATACTTGGCCACGTCACGTCATGTTTTTTTTTTTTTTATATGCTTTTCTGTAGAAAGACCCAATTTGTACTGTAAAAAAATGTGTAAAATATATGTTGCATTATTACATTTTTATGCTTACTATAGTACGGTAGTTAAACGTTTTATTTATCTATTCGCTAAACAAATCAATTTAATATATTTTTTTATCATTTTTATTTATTTTGAAATTTATCTAATTATTTTTGTTATTTATTTATTTCATTTTTACATAGTTTTTCTCTAAACTTTTCCACGAACCCCTAGCACTCTCTTGTGCCCCCCCCTGGAAAACCCCTGCATTGTGTTTGATGAGTGCAAGCAACATTTCAGCGCAGTCCTGCAGCAACAACCCGTGGATCGCGCTTGTCAGTGTGTGTGAGACAGAGAATTTCACTCGACCTTGGTGCTGAATAAAAATCTCTCTCTTCACTAGAAGACAGCAACAACAAAAGTTCGTCCTCTTTCATTCATTTTGCTCTACAGCCGACCCACGTGATGCCTGTGCGGTGACGTCACGGCCGAACAGGGGACTCGCGGGAGGTGGAAAAAAAAAGAAACAAGTAGTCGTAGTCGAGGCGTTCGTGGAAACAGGAAGCAAAGAGGGGGAAAGCCAAGCAGAGGTTGTTGTTGTTACAAAAAAAATTTAAGAAGGGAGCGCTCTGTCTTTTCCCTCCCAGCTATTTTGAGCTCTTTAAACTAACAGTGCAGCCGCGGACTTTCAGTCCGTTGCTTGGACACCGCTGAAGGAGAGAAGCTCGCGCGCTTCGCGGACCAACGGCTACCTGATCAGGGGTGTCGGTTTATTTGCCCTCCCTCACCGTCCACCACACTGGAATTAACCCCACTTTACTGATACCGTATTATTTTAAAGGCAGGGCGTGCCATTCCACCTTTTAAACGTGGCCCTGGTCGTTTTACTGGAGTGTTTTGGCGTTTGAAGAAGTCTTCAGTCTGTCTGACAAGAACGGTGCAAGCGCAGGCAGCCTGAGCTAACGCGAGCTAGCGACTTAGCTGCTAATGTCAACTAACATGGAGGGAGAGGTGCATGTGTTACATAACAACCAAACGCAATTAAACCACCGACTTTTGACACCCAGCAAGCACAGTTATGGACGTGAATTAATCTCCAAAGAATAAAACGGCCCATAAACACATTTATTTGGCAGAGATGGAGTCGAACCCGCTGATCATTGGTAAGTTGTATTCCACTTCAAGGAGGTTGGACATGAAGGAGTGATTGCATTCGAGTTGAATAAAGTGCTCGTTAGTCAAAGCCAAATGCATTTACAGCTCGCTCTGTTATATTCACATTTCATTCGTACACGACGCCTAATCCTGCCGTGAGCCAGAACGTTATGTTTAAATCAGCGTGATGATCCAAAAACTATTAAGAGACCGTATAAATGAGTGGTATTGGCACTTTATTTTGGTCAGGGTGGGTTAACAAAACCTGTAGGAAGCCTGATGCACTTCAACTGTGTTTGAGTAAATGTTTTGCAAGCCAAATGTCTGGCAGTGTGTCCACATGCTGCTGTTTCTGAATGAAATAGAATGTTTGGCAGACTTGTTTGCCTCCTGGTTATTTCTGAACTAATCAACCATTAAACGAATATCATTTTAACAGAATAGCATTTGATTGTTTTATTGAGCATTAAATATTTCGATTTTGAGTGTCAGAGCTGTCAAACAAGCTAGTTTGAGGGTGGATGTTTGTTCTTGTATTTGGAAAGAAGGGTTATAAATAAAACCTAATAAATGATTTATTTAATTATAAATAAGTTATTATCATTACTATTATTATTCACTCCATTTTGTATAATGTCAACAAGCCCTTTATAATTACTCTGAAAACTTTGATTCAAGTGCATAAGAACTTGTTTGAATTGAACATGATTGTGCAATGCATATGTCAGCATTTCTTTACTTTGTGTAAAAGAAACCAACGTCATCTGATATTAACCAGCAGACCTCATGTAAACCCAGAGAAACTGGGTGAACACCTAGATGACCCATCAGGAACTGTCCTGAGCCCCATTTAATGCAAGTGTATGTGTTTATTAGGGATTTGTTTGGTAATTTAGCACTGGATTCATTCTGCTCACATCACAGTCCTGTCTGGCTCTCTCTTCCTTTGGGATTGCAATTCATTCATTGGCTATAAGTCATCATGCAGTCTGAGAACTCAAGATAATTGACTATTGAGCATTGAGGTCCCCGAACAGCCTTAAGGCAATAAGGTCTGATGGGGAAAAACAGATCTGTGTTGTTCAGTGCCGGTCTTTGTTTGCTTTTCTCAGATGTACAGGCTGATTTATGAGGCATTAGACCAAGGCAAGCTGTGCAGTGTTAGTCCCTTGATTAGTCATACTGGAGCTCTTCAGCTAGAATGTAACACTGCAAGGAAAATTATAGGGAATAATTAACGTGTAAATAAGAAAATGTGCATCTGATTCTTTGGTTCTGGCTTCACTATGACATTTTTATCTTAATACGTTGATCCTTTGGTTATTTTAATCAGTATATTCTGATGCCAATTTTTTTTTTTTTTTTTATAAATCACTGTAGTATATGTTATTTTTATGAAAGCTTCGATGTGTTATTGTGCTGTTGGGGAAATCAGAAGCTGTTTGTTTTATTGGCCTGAACAGTTCAGTAGATTCTGCTGTTACGGCTGCCTTTGAAACACTTAATAATTAAAAAAAACAATTTATTATACTACAGAGGAGATGTTACTTATTTTTTCAAACCGCTGACTGCTTTCTCAATGGCTGTTTATTTAGGGAAAGA